TGTCTCAAAGAGTAAGAGATCCTTCTTTTTTACTGTTGCACAGTGTTCCATCGTATAAATGTGCCACAGCGTTTTTAGCCACACATCTACTGATGGGCACTCGGACTGTTTCCAGAACTTGGCTATGGTAAACTGTGCTGCTATGAGCACAGGGGTGCATGCATTATTTCTGATTGGTGTTTCTGGATTCTTATTCCTAAAAGTGGGATTACTGGGTCAAATAGCAGTTCCATTTTTAATTTTTTGAGGGAATGCCATAGTGTTCTCCACAAGTCTGTGCACTAGGGTTCTCTTTTCTCCACTTGTTGTTTGTGTATTTGTTGATGGTGGCCCCTGCTTTTTTAAAGGAAAAAAATGGATTATTGGTCACGGTCATAGGAATTAATGTTCTAAAAACATAAGGCTATGAATAGGTGAAGACTAAACCCATTTAAATTTTAAACTTTCCATCCTGATTTGACTTAGTCATTAGCCACAAATGTCTATTAATTTTGATGAAGTGAACTTATATTTAATGAGTGAACTTGATAACGATGCATAAGAATTGGTAGCCCTGAGCTCATTTTACTGTGGTATTTCATACAATTCAGTTCACTTGTGGAGTGTGCAGATCTGAACTTTCACCCTATTCAGATCTGACTAGGCTGTGCTGTTATAATTATAGGAATTTTTGTTTGTTTGTTTTTTAACCCTCACCTAAGAAGTAAGGATATTTTTTCCCCATTAATTTTTAGAGTGGAAAGGAGGAAGGAGAGAAAAAAAACAACAACATCAATGTGACCTCGGTCGGGGTACATCAAACCAGTAACCCAAGTACCAGAACTTGACCTGGAACTGAACCCAATACCTTTTGGTGGTCAGGCCAATGCTCTAACCATTTAACACACTGGTCAGGGCTATACTTATTGGTTTTTAATTTTATATTTGACTAGAGACCCAATGCACAACATTCATGCACTTGTTGGAGAGGGGGCCCCTCAGCCTGGTCCACACCCTCTCATAGCCCAGGACCTCACAGGGGATGTCCAACCACTGGGAGCAGCCCTAAGCCGTTAGTTGGACATCCCCCCAAGGGATTCTGCACTGCTGCTGCGCTTGCCGGCCATGAGTCTGGCTTCTGGCTGAGCTGTGCTCCCCTGTGGGAGTGCACTGACCACCAGGGGGAAGCTCCTGCCCTGAGCATCTGCCCCCTTCTGTTCAATGTCCATCATAAGGACCAATCTTTCCAGCGTTTGGTCAATTTGCATATTAGCATTTTAACAATAAAATTTTAAACAATTATGAATAAGTTACTATATTATATGTCTACAGGGGATACTTAGCTGTTTTTAAAAGAAGCCCATTTAAAGTTTACTAATACCTATACTTTCCAGAGTTTACAAAGACCAGCCAATTGCATCCTATTCTGCTTACCTGATGGCTTGGAAGTTTATAATTACATGTTTAATATTTCTTATCACTCACTGGAAGCCCGATGCATGAAGATTCCTGCTAGAATGGGCTTTCCTTTTCCTGGTGCCCACACCACCTTTCCACTCCAGCCCAGACACTTTCCGTTCAGGCCCCCCTTCCCACGCTGCCCAGAGGCCCTGAGAGACCAGGGGTGGGGCAGAACATCAGCATCGTCGCCATAGCTACAACACAAGCATCCCGCCCTCATCACTCAGCACCTGTGTATGCAAATTAACCTCCATCTTTGTTGGGTTAATTTGCATATCACTCTTGATTGGCTGGTGGCCAATTTACATGTTTGTCTATTATTAGGTAAGATTATTTTACAAAATTTTTAAATTTAACTATTTTCTCCAAAAAATTAATCTGAATACTTATTTTGTTCCACTTTTTATGTCAACATTTTAAGCACCAGTTTTAGTTTTTTTTAGCTGCATTTTTGCTGCTAAAATGACAAATTATTCTTTTTTGAAGATAAATAATTGAAATTAGAACATGGGTCTTTTATTTACATAAGAAGAAAATGGAGGATTTTAAATGATTAACTTTCTGTTACAGACTGAACCCATAACAGAACATTGTAAACAGCTGTAATTTCAGGAAGGAGTATAAAATTTTTAAAACACCAACTAAAATATAACTCCTATCACTACAGAATGTAGTGACAACTGGTGGAAGAAAGCATAATGTGCTAAATGCCTCATCTTTCATAACACGATGTCAAGAACCCCTGTCTACTTTTGCTCTCTTGGGGGCAGGACCGTAGCTGTGATTACAGGGTCATTGGCGTTGGCGGAGAGATGCTGAAGAAATAAATATAGTTCAGTCTAAGCAGAGTTTCTCAACCTGGCCTCCACCAACCTCTAGGTCAGGAAATTGTGTTGTAGGGGTTGTCCTGTGCATTGTGGGAAGTCTAACAGCATCGCTGGCCTTGATCTGCTATCTAGTTGTGACAACAAAAATGTCTCCAGACTGTGACACGTGACCGCTGGCAGGTCCGGGCATGTGGAGGGGGCTGTGTTCGGAATCGCCTGGTTGGCGCTGCTGGCCTCACGCCACGTTAACCTGGGCTACAGGACAGTCTGGAGAGCAGCATCACCTTCGCATTGGGAGCTTCGGCCACTACCCAAGCACACAGCTTCTTTTGGGCTCTCAACTTGATGGGGTGCTACCAAATTTGAGGGCCAAAGGATGGGGCTCCCCTTGATCCACAGAAGCTACCACCTTGTTTTTGCAAATCTGTTGTGACTGCCTAGCCCCAGAGACCCGAGGCCTGCATGCCAACAGCTCTCCTGACCGAAGTTCAGTGGGGCCCGCCTGCTGCTCTGCTTCAGCCAGTCTTCTGAGGGCACAGAGCCGCCGGAGGCCAAGGCCCAGCATCCCAGCCCAGGTCAACCCTCTGCTCACAAGAGGAAGCCAGGTTGATGATCACAGTATCTAGGGTTACAGGAATGCATATGTATTTTTTAAAAAACATGAAGAAACAATTTAAAATTTAACCAAATTAAGATACACAGCAATCTTCATAATTAATTAAACCAGAAACTGTGGGAGTTCTGAACTCTGTTTTATTTTATGCATTATTCTACCATTTCATTTTTTTTTTTTAAGAACTATGTACCAAAAAAGTTGTTGCAAAATGATATTATTACAAACTAGTGGCCTGGTACCTGGATTCAAACACATTGAAAGGAAATAAATTAGAAGGAAGATTTGTGTGGTAATTACATTACTGCAAAAAATTACATATCAAAATAGTATATATAATATAGTATTATAAAATTAAAATACAAACTATTTTAATATCACTAATCACCCTTTATAATAAAAGTGTCAGAAATGAAAAAACTTAGTAAAATGTATATGAAAATAATACATAAATTGATTAATAAATAAACAATATTCTGTCAACAACGTCGCTTTCTTTCGGCTTTAGAAATATGTTGTGCCAATAATTGGTCTTCAGATACATTCTGGTGTTGCTGGTGATTGGCGCCAGCAAGAGCGTTACATGTATCGCACATGCATGAGTCAACGTTTAATTTTAACTTTTATTTTTAAATTGTCAGTGCATGTCATATGTGCCAGTGGTTGGACGGTTGAGTGTATGTACAGTCAGTCAATTAGCCTTTTAGATAGGTAGATAGATAGATAGATAGATAGATAGATAGACAGATAGATGATAGATAGATGATAGAAGATAGATAGATAGATAGATAGATAGATAAATAGATAGATAGATAGATAGATAAAAAGATGCCTGTCGAGGCTTTTCTTCCCATCGCCCATAGTTTCTTCTCTAACACAATGACTGTGGAGAGAAACGCTGTTTCGTCTTCTAAACCCGGAGCCAGCGGGTGAGGCTCAGCCTTCGCTGCGCGCTGGTGCTGCTCCGTCCCCCGGGCGCGGAGTGCGGGGCCGGGGAACAGCGGACGGTGCGGAGCTGGGCTGAGGACTGGGCTGAGGTCTGGGCTGAGCAGTCAGCTCCTGGCCTACTTGTCCTCTGACAGGTGCTGTCTGTCAGCACGTGCTGGGCATCAGCTGTCAGACAGCTGCTTGCTGCTCCGTGTCTGTAGGTCTGGGAGTGAAGGGGCAGGGAAGAAATCACAGCTCTGAGCGTGTCGCTCAGACACTGTGGCCTTGTCCTCAGAGCTGCATAGGAAAGGGGCAGTGAGGGTGCTGCACGAGGCTTGGCCCTGTCCCTTCCCGCCTGCTTTCGGCGCTGACAGCCCATGTGACAGCCCGAGGGCAGCGTTATGCGCAGGAGGTGAGCACAGGGAGGCCGCGTTAGTGATGAGAGCTGCGCTGGCTTCTCTCTCACCGCTGAAGTGTGCGCTCCCTGTGGACAGGCCGTCCTTGTTCTGTTATTGCTGTGCCCGCAGCACCTACCACAGCGCCTGGCATGCTGGTGCCGCGCAGAGTGTCCGTGGATGGATGAGTGGAGGAGACATGCCTGCTATTTATTTCTACAGTTTCAGTTCACTTCCTTCAGCTGCTTTTCCTCAAAGGCTGCTGCCAGCACCGTGCACACACTGGGCCAGCGCGTCCTGGCTGTGAGGCTGTCCTGTGCATTGGAGGGTGTGTAGCCACATCCCTGGCCCCGACCCACTCAGTGCCAGTGTGCTGCGCTCCTGCTGTGGGCGCCCGGGGCCTCTGGGGGTGGCGGGAGCACCACCCCCAACGAAGAGCACTATCCGCAGCCGTGTCAGGCTGACAGAGGAAGCTCTCGCAGGCCCAGGAGGCCTGCACGTGCAGGGAGTGTAACTCCCACTGCCGGTAGTCATCAGCTTGTCCAGCAGCACCCCGTCAGCAGTGGCCACCACCCTGCACCTTTGGACACACACAGGGACAGAGCCCCTCCGAGCTGAGTCTGCTCTGCGCTGGCGCCAAGCGCCGTGGACTCAGTGCCCCACAGCGCCCGAGCCTGGGACGTGCTGCCCTTCCACACAGACAGAGGAGGGGGCTGGCCACGTCCGCCCCCCACTCAGACCACCTCCTCCCACCCCCGTTGTGTACATTGTTCTCAACCATCTCCCTGGCCCTTCCAGAACCATTTTGGAAATGGAAGGCAGGAAAGAAGAAGGAGGAAGAGAAGAAAAAGGAAAAAGGAGGTAAGGAGACATGGCGTGGTCCACTCGAAGTTAACACCCAGAATAAGCAGCCTTGACCCTGGGGCAGCCAGAACCGGGTCTGTTCCTTCCGTCCAGCCCAACAAAGGCGAGGCTGGCCCTGCCAGAGCCTGCAGAGCGCCGCCTTTCCATAGAGGGTGCTCAGAGGCCCGGAGGAGGCAGCTCAGGCTCACCGGACAGACGTGGGGCCCGCGGCCTCTTTGGTGGAGGGGAGTGAGGAGCACACGGCATGGCACTGAGGCCGGCATGGCACTGAGGAGGACACGCAGGCTGGAGGCAGGGATGTGAGCTGCCTCTCACTTCTCCTGCGTCGGAGGAACGTGCCTCCCAGTTCCCTGCCTGTCACCGCCTCCAAGGGGTGGCATCCCCCGCGGGCCCCGCAGACGGTGCCCTGCAGAGTGGGCAGGTGCTCAGGAGGCGCCCTGGCTGGAGGAGGCCACTGGCTCTGCCTGCGGAAAGCACAGGCCTCTGGCGTGCTGGCCTCCTGCCCTGCACGGAAAGCCACGGCCCAGGGGCGGGTGACCCTCCTCCGCCAGCCCGCTGGCAGCACAGCAGGTTCGCTGCTCTCAGAACCAGCGGCCTTGGCTGCGGCTCTCCTCGGCGGGTTGCCGAGTTCCACGTCAGAGACCAAGCTTGCTCCTTCCGAACGCCCTTCTTGTTTCTCCCCTCCTCCACCCGGTGTGACCCCCCTGACCTCTGTGTGCAGAGGGCACAGCCGACCTTGCTTCTTGTCTGGGGCGGTTTGCTCCTTAGACCGATGTGGCCAAGCCCAGAGCCTGTCTCCTGAGGCGCCTTCGGAGCAGGAGGAACCAGTGAGAACCAGGGATCGGCACCTGAGCTTGTGCTTCAAAGCTCAGTCTCTGGCCCAACTGCCAGCCAGGCTTCAGGTCCAGCTGTGACCGTGGCCAGGCGCCTGGCCTCAGTCTGCCTCTGGAAGTGGGTGTAACTAAAGCGTGCCGCGCTCAGTGGCAGGAGGAGGGGGAGGGTGACACCAGAGGTGCTGACCACCTTGCCGGGCGGCTGGGCCAGTGGTGGACACTCAGAGCTGCTATGCAAAGAGGTTTCCCAAGAAGAGTTCGGTGGGTTTTTTTGTTTGTTTTTTCCGTTTCCTGACGTGGTTTTCTTTTCATTCTAGGTTCCATTTTTTGGGCGGAGGCTGCTTCACACGTGTCCGTGCATGCCTGGCCTAGCCTGCTCACGAGCTGCAGTCAACCGATTTGTTTGTTCCCGAAAGTAATCACGTTAGAGTAGAAGCTCGAAATGTGAGTGGCCACACGATGCCTGTAACACCGATCCTTGCTCCTGTGCCAGACATAGTGTGCCAGACAGAACCTCGTGCTTCCGCCGCCTTCCCAGTGACATTGCCAGCTTTGACTTTTAAGTGACCTCTTCTTATTGAAAAACATTTAGTTTGGGGTAGAGATGTAACGTTCAAGGCATTGTGGAACTGGTTCTAATTTCCCAGTTTGTTTTAGGTTTGGCTTTTTTTAATGCCAATAATTCACCCATTTTCACAAAAAATGAAGACAATAAGAATTTGATATTTTGTTATAGACTCCTCTTTTTTCTTAAACCATTCTCCTCCCACCCCTGCCCCACACTTATCCTCGTGCACCCTTTGCTCTCTCGCTCCTCAAGAATGTTAATGACCTCACTTTGTTCTTTGCCATTCGCCTCCCCGTGCTTGTGGCCTTTTAGCATACATGTGTGGTGGGGGAGGGGTGTCCATATCACCGGCTTGCGGTGGAGTCACTGAGGAAAAGCGAGCAGTGGAGAGTGCAGAGCTGAACCAGACACTCCAGGCCTCTCACACGGAGTGAGGGTGGCAGCTGCCACACGCCCGTGGGGCTGTCTGCGCAGCCTTAGGCCGGTGGGTGCCCCGGTGAGGACGAAGGATGGAGGGCCAAACTAATTTAATCCAGATTCATAGATGGCCTTTTTAAAGAATTCCCAGTACAGCAATGATTTTCAGCTGCTGTGCCCTAGCACACAGGTGAGCCACAAGAAGTTTTGAAACACGCAACACCTGACTTTCCCTTAGATTGTCAAATTAAAAAAATGACAACAGCCAACACACAATACCCCTCTGGTGTGAAAGAATCAAATTTATAATTTATTTTGTCAGACTGGCAGAATGCTCTTTTTGGTGTGCTGCAGAATTTCAGTAAGCAGTTTATGTACAAATCGCTTCAGCACAGTATTACATTTATTTCTTTTTTTATGAAGCTAATTTTATTAGAAAACTCTTATAGTTAGAGATGTTCCCAAAAATGTCACTTGAAGAGGAAGTATTGATTTTATTCTGGCATAAAACTAGTTATCCTTTTAAAATGGGTATTAACTTGTAATTTAAACTTCATTTGTAACCAAAAGGTCTGTTGTAATGGACTGTCTGACATCCTGCCATTTGCACCTGTATCACTATTGCCGTGTAAAAATTCTGTATCAGAATTTCTGTGTCAAAAATCCTGAATCAGTTGCTTCATCAGTTGCTTTATTTTTAATATTATATCCTTATTTTGTCACAGCTGTCCTCAGTTTTTATGACAAGCTGATCTTTATATAGCCCACATCCCAAACCTGGCAAAGACTCTTCAGTTGGTCAGATAGCACTCTTGTCTGTGCGTTTCATTTTGCACACAGGAAAATCCTGTTTGCATGAATGTTAAGGAAGTACAAGAACACGTAAATCAGCGAGGCTCTGGAAGATGAGGGGGCTATGGCGTACAGAACTGACTGCACCAGAACGGCTCGTGGGTGTCACCGCCGACTCGGCAGGTAGTGACGGCTGGCGGCGTGTTCGGCCTGGCGCGGGGCAGGTGCCGGTGCTCCCAGACAGCAGTGCCAGCGTCCCGGCCTTGAGGACCAGCGAGTGTAAATGCGACAATAAATTGCTTATGAGACACGCTCACTGAGTGCATCTCGTCATGCCGACCACCCGCTCCGAAAGAGGGCTACTGTGGTGGCTGCTTCCTCGCCCAGGGCCTCCACGCCCGGAGCCGCTCAGAAGTGCTGGGCTGTGCGTGCTAACTGCCCTCCTTGGCCACGGAAGTACGAGTTTGGGTTCAGTTAGTCTGTATTCAAGGACATTCCTTTGTGAGTTTGTTGAGAAAAAATTTAGACTTCAGCAAGTGGAATCATAGGTGAAAAAACAACAGGCAGTTCAGCAATTTTGCTAAATGTTGTTTTCACATAATGTTCAATAAATCCTTTTTAATAAGTCATGCAAACACTTGGATCAATCGTCCATTTTTAAAAAATACATTTTTATTGATTTCAGATAGGAGGGGAGTGGGGGAAAGAGAAGCATCAATGATGAGAGAGAATCATTGATTGACTGCCTCCTGCACACCCACCACTGGGGATTGGGCCTGCAACCCGGGCCTGTGCCCTGACAGCATTGAACCAGGACCCTTCAGTCCGCAGGCCGACGCTCTATCTATTGAGCCAAACCGGCTGGGACCCAATCGTCCAATTTCACCCATGTTAAAAATCACATAATTAACTTTTTAAAAATTTACTTTTACAAATGCCAGCCCGGTTTTTAAGCCGGTAAGCTGAGCGCAGCTGGGAGAGAGAGGTGGCCCCTCTACCTCACTTCCACCCAGAAAGCCAGTTTGCCTTTGATACCCTCCCCGGGTTATGTTTTTCTGTTTCTGTTAAACCGCACTTGAGGGTATTTTTCCATTGCTTTTCAGAGAGAGCGAAGGGAGGGAGGGTAAGAGACAGAGAGAAACATTGATGTGAGAGGGACACAGCCACTGGTTGCCTCACACACATGGCCCAACAGGAGGCTGGGCATGAACCCAAAACCCAAGTGCATGACATTGTCTGGGAATTGAACCCAAGACACTTCAGTGCACAGGCTGCCGCTCTAACCACTGAACCACCACCTGGGACAATACTTCCTGTTTAGTGTGTGGTTCTGGTTAGTTATTGTCTTAACGAATTACCAGAGTTAGCTAGCACCTTTCCAATATTTCAAAAATACTTGTAATCAGACCTCACGGAGACTCTTGAAAATAATTCTATGCACAGAACTAAGTGTTGCTTTATTAAGACTGTGGCATGGTTCCTGCCCGGCCCAGCATGGTTTCACACTAAAAGTGGGACTTCATAGGCCAGAATGTCTACAAGACAAGGCAAAGCCATGTTCTCTGTAGTCAGTGTTATGAATGGATGAAGTCCATTATGAGGTAGAAATGAATCCTATGCCTGAAGCCACTGACCAAACCTAAGTGCACCTTTGGATTTCATTGCAAACATGGACTTTTACGAAAACTGTCCTTTCTGACCTCAACAACCTTATTTGAAAAACAACACTTTTTTTTTCAATATTAACCAATTGACTTTATTCAATTAATGAAATATAATTAATATGATCTAAACATTAATTTTCAATTATTTTTATTTTATTTTAAATTTATCTTTATTGTGATAGCGTTACAGATGTCCCCTTTTGTGTGTGTGTTTTTCCCCACTGACCCCCACCACCCTTCTCCCAGCCCTCCCAGGCCTACCCCACACTAATGCTGTGTCCATGGATTACACATATCTCTATATCTATAAAACCCTAATATACAAATAGACTGACCAGCGGAACAACCGAACAGCTGGTCACTGTGATGTGCGCTGACCGCCAGGGGACACGTGCAGAATATGGCAGGCATTGGACGTGGCAGGATGGTGGAGCAGGTGAGCTGAGGCACCAGACCAAGGTGGAGCGTTGTTCTCTGTCATCCAGCGAGCCTCTGATAGTCACTGAAAATTCTTTGATCCCCGTGCTGTGGTCCCACCCAGTGTTTGCAACCTCTGCCAGTGCAAGCGGCAGCTACCAGCCCTGATCACCCCTCAGGGCTTCTCCACCTCCCTCTGCTCCTGAGGGGCAATCAGGGCCAGCAGCCACTTCTCTTCCCACTGCTGGCGACAGCCCCACTCGCACCCATAGCCGGCATTGGAATTGCCACTTGTACCTGCTACAAGCACACGGCACTGGTCCCTATTGATTGCTCAGCACTGTCAGCAGCTGTCAGCCCCATCACCCCTCAGGGCTTCTCCACCTCCCCCTGCTCCTGAGGAGCAATGGGAGCAGCAGCCGCTGCTTGCACCCACTGCTGGCACTGGGCCTAATCACTCAGCGCCATCAGCGGGTATGAGCGGGGCAGGCACCATCAGCACTTGGGGACAGTGGTGGCAGGGGCAGGGCTTCCTTCATACAGGAGTCTGGAAGCCACAGCAGGAGGGGCCTGGTGGAGTTGGGGAGGATGGGCCGAGGCCCATCCCAGTGCCCACTGCAGCTTCAGCCCACAGTTTCTTTCAAGGTGCACAAATTCGTGCACTGGGACCCTAGAATGCACATAAATTCCCTGATTCATCTCTTCCCGCCCACCCACCTTCCCCCACCTTCCCTCTGAAATTCGTCAGTCTGTTCCATGCTTCTATGACACTGGATCCATTTTGTCAGTTTATTGTGTTCATTAGATTCTGCATATGAAAGAGATCATGTGATCCTTGTCTGTCTCTGACAGGCTTATTTTACTTAACATAATACTCTCCAGGCCCCTCCATGCTGTCTCAAAGGGTAAGAGCTCCTTCTTTTTACTGCTGCATAGTGTTTCCTGGAGTAAATATACCACAGCTTTTTATCCCCTCATTGTCTGAGGGGCACCAGGGCTGTTTCCAGATCTTGGCTATTGTAAACAATGCTGATATGAACACAGGGGTGCATATATTCTTTCTGACTGGTGTTTCAGGATTCTCAGAATATATTCCTAGAAGGGGGATTACTGGGTCAAATGGCAGTTCCATATTTAATTTTGTGAGGAAACTCCATACTGTTCTCCACAGTGGCTGCACCAGTCTGCATTCCCACCAGCAGTGCACGAGGGTTCCTTTTCTCCACACCCTCACCAGCACTTGTTTGTTGATTTGTTCATGGTAGCCATTCTGACAGATGTGAGATGGTACCTCGTTGTCATTTTAATTTATGCCTCTTGGATAATGAGTGACTTCCAGCATTTTTTATGTTTCTTGCCTTCTCATGTGCATGTTAGAGAAGTGCCGAGTTAGGTCTTTTGCCCATTTTTTAATTGGATTGTTTGTCTCCCATTGTATCATTGCCAAATACGTTCTCCCATGCAGTGGGCTCTCTTTTCACTTTGTTGGTGATTTCTTTAGCTGTGCAGAAGCTTTTTACTTTGATGTAGTTCCATTTATTTATTTTTTTCCTTAGTTTCC